CGCCCTATCGCTGATTCCCGACAAAATGCGTTTTCCTCGGTGTTATAGCGCATTCCCTAGAAGACCCGTGAACGGTGAAACATTTCATCTTTGACCTGACCTGTGACGTCATCGGTGACCCCGAGGTCAATAAAATTTGGTTTCCCTCGACAAATTTGACAGGCCTTTCGAACGCCGTTTGAATTTTTCGGATCCGTCCAGTAGTTTCGGAGATACGAGGGGGGGCAAAAAATAGCCCCCCCCCCCCACCAGGTCGCGTTATAAACAGACCCCACCAGGGCGCGGGTTAAACTTCAGAATGGGTTCGTGAGGGCACTTTGACTGGGACATCAGATTATCAACTCTTCCTGATCGTAACCATGGAGCACTTGCTTATACAGTATAATTTAAAAGTAATTTTTACATTTTTCAACTTCCGTTACGTCTTGGCTTGAGAAGCACGATGTGTTTGCTTACCCTCCACGCCACATTTAAAGTTTGCTTGCGCTTAGGTACGGGTATTTCTATCTCTCATAGTTTTTAGGATAGGCCGGATGACCATAGCCCCCCCCCCCCCTTTCTCCTCACACACACCATTGCGTGGTTCTCTGAGACCGACACCGAGCTGCGGGTTTCCGAACTACGAGAGCCTGGAGTGGGATGGCTGAGCGATCCCGGGGAAGCGACCAGGGTCCAATGGATCCCCGGAAACAGACGGAATGAGGGGACTCATTCAAACGCTTAACTTCAAACGACAATCGACAATCGTAGACGGTCGTCGGTCATAGACGGTGTGGTATACAGAGGTCTATTCTGTGACACGGCTGGTGCTGCAACATTGCATGTTTCCCATATTTCTCATGTCTGCTGTTCTGTTCCACAGCTGCAGCATGAGCCGGTGACGCGCGCGGCCGGCAGCAAGTACTACGGCATGTGGCAGGCGGTGTCTGCGATCGTCAGAGAGGAGGGTGTCCTGGCGCTGTGGAAGGGCCACGTGCCGGCCCAGCTGCTCTCGGTACTCTACGGTACAGTCCAGGTCAGTCGGACGACGTTCGCTGTGATGTTCATACACGGGTAGCGATCCGGTCTCGTAGGTGTGGTCATGTACGGTTATTGTATGGTTTTGGATGTAAAAAGGGATAGATTGTCGATCGATGTTTGACTTTTTTGCCTGATTCATTGGAGTGGCTCCTCAATCCTCTGTCAGCTTGGTATCATATTTCCGATGTAACGAGCGTTCCTGACATCTACAACATTTTAAGCCATGAGTAATGGCCCATTATTGGCCCTAATAATCAGTCCATCTTCTTACGATCGGTCACCTCTTTGACCTGTCCTTCGTTTGGACCCCATAGTTCCCGGCCCTTTGCTCTGCTGCCTTCTAGACGCCGATCTCCTTCATTTGTTTTCTTCTGGTTTCGGATGTAGCACTAATCGACGGATGTTAGTTACCTTGCCACCTACTGATGTTGTCGTCTGTTGACAGTTTGCATCGTTCGAGATTCTGAGCCGCGAGATGCACCACCTGACGTCAGAGCCATCTAGTGAACCGGGTGTGAAGCTGCACTTTGTGTGCGGCGCGCTAGCTGGTGTGGCCGCCACGATCACCACCCTGCCCCTGGACGTGGTCCGGACGAGACTGGTCGCACAGGGCGAGCCCAAGGTTAGTCTAACTCACACCCGAGGGTGAACGGTCGCAACAATCGCACCTGAGATATGTATACGGTCACCGTAGTTACGTGACCCGCCGCTACTGGAGCTGGTGGCGGGTCAGTCTGACCCGCCCCAGCAGTGCGTGCTCGCCCTTGCCGTGGTTGGTTGCTGGCTAATGTCGGTCGAAGGTTGATGCAAATGTTGAGGTGACGGGATCTGTGGAGCGTCCGGGCAGCGGAGAGCCTGGCATGTACGCTGTATTGCGTTGTTTGTTATAATACATGTAAGGCGGGTCACAGTAACGTTGGTTTTATGAAACAGGCAAAGCCGGGGGTGAACGATGTTAGCCATAGGTACGTGTTTGTGAACGGTCTCACCGCCGGGGTATCGGGCATCGGCAATTGTCCGAATTCCGCGTTTCAAAAATTAAACGGGGAGCATCATTGATTAGAATTTTTGAATTGATATGATTCATCGACACATTAAGCAATAACAATGTCCTTCCCCTTCTGACGTGACGACATTCCGTGCTCGCAGTTCTACCGCGGTATGTCGCACGCCGCCTGGCACATGCTGCGCCACGAGGGACCGACCGCCTTCGCCAAGGGCCTGGTGCCCACCATGCTGCAGACGGCGCCGTACACCTCGCTGCAGTTCGGCGCCTTCGAGGTGGTCAGCCGGCTGGCGGGCTCCTGGCACATCCGTGAGCACTGGGTGGGCTGGAGCGATATGGAGATATTAGCAAAGTTGCCCTGGTGGACATATGTGGCAAAGTGAACGTGTTGAAATAACTAGTTTCGTTGAGTGTAGGAAACAAATATAAAGAAAGGCTATTTTAGAAAGAATGGTAGATTTCGTTTGGGACAGACTGTATATGCCAGGTAGAAGCTAATAAATTGTAGCATTGCCATCACATTTCAAGCCACCCTGTCCCGTGGCGGCTGACCTGACCTAACCCTTATCCCCGGCAGTGGAAGACCGCCCCTCCACCCGCGCCATGCTGTCCGGCGTGGCGGCCGGCCTGGTCGCCAAGACGGCCGTCTACCCTCTGGACGTGGTGAAAAAGCGACTACAGATCCAGGGCTTCCAGCGCTCTGGCTTTGGCGAGGTGGGTCCACTGGCCGGCGGGGCGACGGGAGGGGCCATTGCAGATTGTCGAGGAAACGTGCTACGCGTCAAACGCCATGTACTCGTATTCGCGGCCATCCAGCCGCCAGTCACCGACAGTAGTGCTGTCAGACTGGCTCTGGGTGAAACTAACAACGTGTTGTCTGATTAAAAAATGCGTCGGTTTTTAGCATTCATTAAAAACTCAGGCGACACTGAAACGACGATTTAAATTGTTTTCAACTTATTTCCGTTGCTTAGTTATGAGCAGTGAGATTGTATCTTGCAATGCAGGTTGCGTTTGTTTGTTGTGCAGCGCTGTCAGCTGTGACATTATAGATATGGCGTTTGGTTTTAGTCGTACTATGTCTTTTTGATTTTTTTTTTTTTTTTGTTTTAGTCGTACCATGGACTTTGTGACGAGCTTCGGGAGATCTATCTATATATGGTTTTAACCAGGACCGTATGGTGTCGCTAGTGTCGCTTCCTCCATACCGGATGGCTGCGGTTGACTTGTGCAACCGCAGCGACAGCACAAACTTCCGTCCTATCTACCTCTGAACCAACCCATTTCCTTGTTCGGACTGACGCTTACTCCACCAGACAACCGGTGGAGGCCACTGGACAGATACGAGAAGAGTTGCGTACACATTTTAATGTTGGTGCTGCCCCGTTCTTTGGCGATCAGCGGTCAGGCAATGCAGTATGCTCTGCTTCTACCCTCCTTCCAGCCAAGCTTCCAGTCTCCTCGATATATCTGTCAGACTGCCACGCCTTACCGCCTCAATAATATCTTCGTCCGAAACGCACACGCGAAATGCCGGTGAACGTCATGAATAGGTCACAGCATTCCCTAACGTGGCGCCGTAATGTCAAAGGAGTATGGGGTGACAGCTGACGTGACAGGTTTTTTGGCAGTCCATTTGTCTGTGGATTAAAACGTGTTTAAGTTTTAAGCACTTTTATAATGAATTTTGATGCACTCTTATCGTGTGGTTTGGCACACCTTACCAGCCACTGTAAGCCCCGGCCTATGCGTTGGTTTGTTCGTCCAGCGTTCCTGTCCTGTTGTCTGACGCGGCCCGTTGTTCACTGCGCCAGAGCCGGGTGTACAGCGGCCTCTTGGACTGCCTGTGGAGCACGGCGCGGCGAGAGGGCGTGCGCGGCATCTACAAGGGCCTGCTGCCCTCCTCGGTCAAGGCAATGGCCACCACCGGACTCCACTTTACCTTCTACGAGTTGGCGATACGACTGATGCGTAGCATGGCGGCCGGGGCGTACGATGGTTAGTTAGTGCCGTCCTGCATTTGTGATAGGCTGGCGCGGGCGCGCTGGTTGGCGTGCCGCGCCGCGTACCCTTGTGATCTGAATTACCTGCTCAGTAACTAGCCCGACAGCGGCCGACGGGCCGGCCGCGGTGACTGTATACGTGAAATGTGGATGGTTTACGTTTGTCTGTGACTGATATGGATGGTGCGAATGTTGGATTAGTGAAACGGTGGACATTGGTATTCTGAATACGGGTCACCAACTGCAATTTTCAACGAAGGATCTGATCCTGCTCAAAGGCATAAGACAATGAAGACGCTGTTGCTGTTTTTGTTTCGTGCCGTGGTCTAGCTTGTGTTCGTGAATAAAATATGCGGTCCGTTGACTTATGATGTGTACATACAGTGCCATTTGTGTGCGATTTGTCAAACGCACTCGATGGCTTTATATGTGAATCGCTCATAGCTGTTACCTATGTATAACTTGGTTGTCAAATGTTCAATCAGAACGTTCCTTTTTACCGCGATAAAGTGCGATAGCATTGTAGCTCGGTTACATGCCGGCTGCCGCACGAATGTAAGGGAGAAGTGGGCAAAGAAATTTCCGTCCTCGTCGTGGGTATCATTTCTGCATATTGAAGCGGCTGCTTCAATAAATTTAAATTTAGCGAATGTTGGACTAACGGTGGTGATCGGAAGAAAATTACACAATTTGTTGTGGGCTGTCCTTTTCGGGCTCTACCGCTCGACCTGCTGCGGTTGGGGGGATCCGATCTGGATCACTCTTCAGCGATGAATTATCACATCTGCACTATTACATATATATTAATCTCAACTTCCGTGTTAGTTTTGCTAGTAATCTATGAGTGTTTCCTTTTCCAGCTGAAGTTTGTTTGTGATTTCTCTCGGGAAATAGCAGCGCGCCGACGGCGGCCGGCCGTCGGCCGCGGCGGCAGCGCTCGGCCGCCCTGTGACGTCAGAGGACAGCTGACGGCTGACGGCCAGTCGCCGCTCGGGTCCGGCCGCGGCCCGCGCCAGTCGTCGTGTGAAGCCCGTGTGGACGGTGGGGCGTTAGTGAGCGATTCATCCAGACGACACGGATCGAGCGACAGTGAACGGTGAGTTGGCCCGGGACGGACCTGATGTGTAACCCTGCCCTCGCGCCCCGGCAGCCGGGTGTAGCGCCATCCCTGCCGCTGGCTGGTGGCGGAGCCGTGCGGACAAAGACGGACACGGCCGGCGCGTGGTGTCTCCGCTGATCCGCTCGAGTAGCGGCACAGGTCAGCCGTTACTGCGGGCTACTGAGGCCTCCCGGCGCAGCGGTGCGGTGGGGATGGGTCAGTCTGCCGGTGACGGCTCCGACAGTAGTGATCGCCCCGTGGTCCCTCAGCCCGTCTCCTCGACCAGGCTCGATCGTGCTCAGATACGATCTGATCCGAGCATCAGTGTCACTGGAGTAGTATGAATGGGTCCCCAACGTGCCGTCCGCTACCCTCCAGTAGACAGTGCATGACAAGATATGAATCAATCTGACGGCTGTCTCCCTCCGAGAAAACTCCGGTCTGGAAGGGGCCGGCGCCCGTAGTAAATAGGTTGGGAGCTGGGTGGTGGTGTAACGTCCGGCCTCGCTGACGGCTCTCGCTGTTAGTCACCGCGGAGGTGAGCCGGCAGGAAGACGCAGTGCCACGGGAAGATACCGGGGTCGGTGCAGCTCGCTGCGGACGGAAGCGGCCATCCCGCGGACCGGTTCGGCGCCGGGTGACGTCAGCGGCCCCGGGCGGCGCTCGGTCCGGCCGACCGGCCGGCCCCGGGCTCCCTGCTGCCACAGCCGGCTGCCGCCGCGCCGTGACCGCGGTCCAAACAACCGACCCCGAGCGGGTGTGGTCGCCGCGGAGGGAGGGGCAGCGCGGACCCCCGGCGCGTACAGCGGTACCGGGCTGCCGCCGCCGCGGGAGGCGGCCGCTCTCCCCCGAGCGCTGGACCACAATTAGACCGGATCAGTGGCGGCGTGGCGCCGGCAGAGAGCCACTCGGGATTACTGGTTGGCCAACGACGAGCGATTGCGTGCGCGGTGGGGGACGGCCGCCGGTCGGCCGGCCGATTCGATTCGCCGCTTCAGAGCGCGTGTCGAGATCTACTGAGTACTGATCGTGGTTTACTCATCCGCTAATGTATCTGCGTACGCAATGCTTCGCAAATTTCAACACTTTTCAGCTTCCGCCTGCGAGTGCATCCGTAAATCAAAATCGTACATTGCGCGTACTAAGTCAACATCATTGAGATGTGTGAATCAATAACTATGGGCAGGTGTTAACGCTAGCGAAACAAGACAAAAGCATGTTGAATGTTCATTGACCATTACCCGTAGGTTTTTGGTTGTTATTGCATGGTTGTCATGGAGGACGAAGTGTGTTTTCGTCTTACCGAAAAACAGAACATATGAAAACGTAGCCGTTTCAGTTTATCGTGGTCGATTCGACCGTATCGCCGCTGTTGCGCCTAGGGAGGGGCAAGCGTCGACCGCCCGGGGCGGGGCCGGTCCGCGGTCGCCCGGGCCGGGGCAGGGGCCGGCCGGTACGTCGCTCCGGTCGGTCACCGATGAGTCATCTGTCCTCTGTCTGGCAGTGCCGTGACGCCTCGCTGGCGAGTGGCGACGCCCAGCAGCGCGCGTTGGCGCCTTGTGTCACCGGGCGATCCGGGGTACGGGCGGGGGTGACCTATGACGTTGGAGGGCTCGGGGGATGGGGGAGTACGTGGGTGTCCTGTGGGCTGCGACACTGGGCGGTCCTGACCCGTGTCGCCGAAAAGTTCTGACTCCGTGGGTACAGTCCGGCTGTTTGTGCCACTAGAAGATATCACTGGGGTCAGCAGTTGGCGCGGGGAATGTCTGTGGGCGGTGAGCTCCCCCGTGTCACCGAGCTTCCAGGGTTACAGTCGGTGTCATGTTGGGCGGTGCCGCCCCATGTCACCAGCCCGGTGCCTTGTGTCATTGTGTGGTCCCGTTCCATATTACAGAACTGTCCCGCCCCCAGCACCGTGTGGTCCCGCTCCTGACACCACGTAGTCCTCATGTCACAGAACTGTCCACCCCCCCCCCCCCCATGAGACCGTGTGGTCTCACTATATGTCACAGAACTGACCGCCCCTGACACGTGTGGCCCCGCCCCTGACACCGAGAGATCCCGCTTCTGACACCGTGTGGTCCCGCTATACGAGTATGTCAGAACTCAGAACTGTCCCGCCCCGTGCCACAGAACTGCCTCGCCCCTGACACCAAGAGTTCCCGCCCCTGTGTCACCGCGAGGTCCCGCCCGTGTCACCGGGCTGCCCGCTGACTCTCCGTCGCCGCCGTTCCAGGGACCGGAGCCGCCAGTGAGTCACCCCCCGCCGACGAGTGGCCTGCGGTCGGCCGGCGACCCAATCTGACGGGCTGCCACCAGCGCGGCGCCCTCTAAGTGACATGAAGACGCGACACAGAGCCACTCTGATTGCCCTGCTGGCCGCTGCTGTCGGCTGTGGGGGGTTCAACCTGGATACGAAACACCCGGTGATCCTACTGGGACCGATCGCCGGCGGCGGAGTGGACAGGGGCCAGTCGTACTTTGGCTACTCGGTCGGCCTCACCACCGCCCCCAACGCGGGCTCATGGTAGGTAGAGCGGGGAGAGGGAGGGGAAGGGTAGAGAGAGAGAGAGAGAGAGAGAGAGAGAGAGAGAGAGAGAGAGAGAGAGAGAGAGAGAGAGAGAGGAGGGAGACAGGGAGGGGAGGGGCAACACCCGTCGCGATAACTCATGCTTGACATGTTGCACGCACGTCTATATTATCACTGCATGTCACAAAGGTGATATATGTATTTATTTATCTTCGTATTCCGCTCTGCACCGGGGAGCAGCGACCGCCGTAGTGATAACGATACAGCAATACATACATCACTACTCCCTGCATGACTTGTCATTTAGGACTGACCCGCGTATGACTCATTATGACTATAGCTTTATTATTTCATGAGGTCCGATCTCTAATACAAAGAGCATGGCTCAATGCTTCATTCAAGCGCTGAATGTCATCACTATGGTACGGCGTGGTTCGGGGCGAAGCACAGGCCGCATGCTTCAGTATGCGGCAGTATTACGGCACTGAAGCACGGGCAAAGCTGACTTCTGGCGTAGCAGGCGCTGGACTAGCCTCGCTAACGGTGCACCGCCATGCTAGCATCCTTGACTGCTGACGTTACGGCTACACGGACACCTACTGCTGATTGACTGACAGCACGGACTGACTTACGGCTGTTTGCTGACCGCACGGGACCGACCTCTGACTGCTGATTGCTGAGTGCTGACGAATGGAACTGCACGACCCTGACGGTCAGTCGACGCTGTCCGACCGGCCACAGGGCTCACCGCAGCAGATGGAGAGGTGGCCGTTGTTCTGTCGTTTCCTGCCTCTCTCTGTTCGTTTAATTGGCAGGAGGCGGCGATGACTTCAGGCACGTCCGCGGCTGAACGTTCTGTTAGGCAATCGGCGCCGCGCTGTGGTTTGAACGTCCGTATGCAGACGGAAAACCCGCGTAAAAATACAGCCCGTCATTTCATGCAGTCTCATAACTTCCTCAGTCATTGGTGTGCCTGAGGTTATGGTGGCCATATATGCGTCAATGGTTCTCACTCTATTTGAGGTGATGTATTTTATAACACCCCGCCGCTCGGAGCCGCCCTCTGACCGCCCGGCCCGTGTAGCGGTCAGTAGCCGGCGAACCGCGGCGCCGCGGCGCCCTGAGCTCGCGGTCGGCACTCGGACCCGGCCGCCGACCCTCGCCGCCGTGCAGACGCGGCCGCCGCTCGCTGCACGGCGCTCTGCACCATTGGCGCCGGGCCGTGACTGACCGACGCCCGCCGGCGCCGTTCCCGGTAATGGCTAATCAGAGCCCGCAGCACGACGGGCCGAGCAGGGGCGGACTCGGCCGGCCCGGGTCGCCAGGTCGCTCGGACGGGTCAGGCCGGGTCAGGTGGCTCGTGTCGCTCGTGATACTGTCGTCCCTCTTTTGCTCGTCCTCTGCCGTGGCACCCGGTCTTTATACCGGTCGGAAATCAGAACATGCTAATTAGAAATAAGGCTGATTCGCAAGGCAGCAATTACTGTTAAGCTGTCGCAATTAACCAAGAAGATTTATGTGTAGTGCTTAGAATAGAATTGGGTACTCTCCTTTGAGGAATTACGTCACGTTTATATAAAGCGACATTTATACTGTAACTGGCTCATTAACGAGTGACATATTTTAGTTTTCTGACAATGCTTTGGCAACAAGAAACTGCTGAGGGCAACGCTGGGGAGTGGAGGATGGGTATCTACTGGGACGAATTGAGATCACTGAGACGACTGGAGGGCAACTGGAGGCCCCGTGCCTGAGGTGCACATTATAAATAATGTGCGACATAAAGACCAGATGTTGCCCACTCGGCTGTCGTTTGTAATAGGGCCGGGAGTGGAGCGATGGACCTGCGGCCTGCAGGATCGGTGAGGGGCGGCTTTACTGTCAGTAGCAGCGTGCTATCTGGTGCAATTTACGTCCAGTCCATGTCCTTCAACCAACGGTGTGAGCTCCCAAGGGACCGGCTAACTCCTCTCGGCCATCAACTAGGCATGCACACTGAATTTGCACCCTTCGAGCACTGTGACATTCTGTTTGTGAGATGGCTGAACGGAACGGTGTCACCTTTGTAGAATGACGCAATGGAATGTGACGTGCCTTCGCCTATGATCGCACGTAGCAGTGGGGATAAAGAAGACGACGCCTATCACCTCTCTGCCACCCCGGCCGTCGAACGATCTTGCAGACTCCAAATCATGCGTGAAGTGTATACCCAGTCGACCCTTGCAGTCGCCATTGCGCCGTTCCCGTTCAAACGGTGACGCTTGAACGGGCGCTGGAATCGGTCTGCGTCCGACATTCATCAGCGCGAGGAGAGCTGGTGTATAGCCGTGTGAGGATGCCATTTCCAAGGCCCTGTATGCCGTTTCATCCGTTATCACCCCACATCTGCCCTGGGGCGTGGCTGCGGGCCCGACCGGCCGCTCAGCACCAGTGACGGAGACGGCGGCACTCCTCTGCAGCCGAGCGCTCTCCGCCTGACAGCGGCGCCGGCGCCGACGGCTCTGACGCACGTGGCCAACTGGAGGGGGGCTGTTTTTGTCGGTCTGTGCCACGGCCGCCGCCGTCTGTCAAAGTTACGTACACTGTGACGCGCCGGGCTCAGCGAGTTGCAGCGCCGAGAGCGCGTGGCAGAGCTGGGAGACACGTGCTGAGTGACTCAGTCAACAGGCGTTGGACCGGCCCACGGACCTCTGCCGAGGCTTCTGTCTGCATTCTCTGAGGGCACTAGCCGGCACTGGTGTTGCCACTGAGAGTCAGCCTATGGTCACAGCGGTCGGGAATGCTGGATAGAGAGGCAGACGTAAACATTTGTGTAGCTGACCCTAGCCGCCGAGACAAGAGCTGAGGGGTTCACTGTCGAACTAGCAGAATAGACAAGCGAGTCATCATTTTTGAGTCACACCTATCTCTTACAGTCTGTCGGAGGCCTAGAGAAGAGCCACTGAAGATCCGTTTGAGGTCCGGTCTGGTGTCAATTCTCCTGTCTATTGGAGGAATGTGCCGCTGGCCATGCAGACTGTTGGAGGGAAAGGCCGCTCTGGTTGCTCGAGTTGCTGTCCTCTCCCCCGGTTGTTGGAGGCCTATCCCGCTCTCCCAGTTGTTGGGAGGGGAGGGCGGCTGGCTGCAGCCTCCCCAGGCTAACCTGTGTCCCGACTGCCGAGGGCGGTGGTAACGGCTCCCATCGGGCGGCAGGCCACTCATCGCCTTTGTAACCAGAACAAACATACAACCAACGAGACGGTCCCGGCCGTGTTATGTCGACTGGATAAATATTGCGCCACGGCGCTGGTAATATATACAGGCGCCCGGTAGTATACAAACGGAGCGGCTCGGGGGACCGCCCGCCCACATCAATTAACGGCACCCCACTGAAAGACGGCCAATATACCGGATCGGCTGACTGTTAGCAACCGTTGTTAGTAATGGTAACTCAATACCCATCTGATGTCTGAACTGTTATCTTGTCTGATTAATGATTCTACCTCCTAAATGCTGCTTAGATGACGGCGGGACAGGTTCTTGTTTTCGTTTTAACGAATGTCACGCGCTTTGAAGTGCCTGCAGAGTCTGTCGGCTAATCTTTTGAACAGTCGGCGCTCTGTTTTATCCCGATGCGCTAATTTCCTCTGCAGACGGCCGTATCGCCGGGAGCTCGGTGAGGCAGAGCGCCGCCCTTTGTTCGACTCCAGTCGATCAGCTGGGTGCTGAGCTGAGTCAGATGCCGTCACTGCTTAGAATAAGCCCGGTGCTGAGTGGCAGCTGAGCCTGAGCCTCTGTGGTGGCCCGGCGCCGCCGAGGTGGTCTGTTTTAGCCGTGGAGTCGCTCGGTGGTCTGGCGTCTGGGTGGGGTATTGAGGTTGTCTGACTCGTCCGTCTGAGGTGGTCTGGTGCCGCCTTCTGAGGTGGTATGGCGTTTGAGGTTGTGAGGTGGTCAGACTCGGCCATTAGAGTCGATGAGGTGGTCTGACTCCGCGCCGTGGAATTGCTCGATGGTCTGGCGTCTGAGGTGGTTAGGTGGCCTGGCGAATCCACTGTTTCGGAGTCTTGAATTCGAGGCAGCCGTACCGCTAGCTACCGACCATTATCCGTGGACGGTCGCCAGTGCCGTCCGCTGCCGCTCATGCCCATTGTCCGTGGACGACCGCCAGTGTCCTCGGCTGCCGCCCATGCCCATTGTCCGTGGAGGTCGCCAGTGTCGCGGGCGGTCCTGTCGCGGCAGGGCGGTCCTGCGTGGGTCGGTGGGCTCCGGGCCGCACTCCAAGTGGCACACGCCGCCACTCGGAGATTTGTCGCCGTCTGACATCTCGGCGAATCCGTCTTTTCTTCTCGGCAGGAACCATGAGGCTCGCCAACTTCCTGATGCGCCTATAGCTCATCCTCTTTTCGTGGGATCTCGGTGGGGCCTTCGTCGCACTCAGTAGCTGAGGTTACGATATTTTTATATGGTGTGGACTGCAGTCGTAACCAAAGTAACCTTGGTCGTAACGGTCGTGGATCATATGCGACTTTCTGTATTATTCCTATTTAATATAATAATTCATTGATAGCACCCAATTAACTAAAATTATTTCGACCGATACGGCACTGTGGATTCTCCGCCGTTGTAGGTTTTAGTATGTCCTTCATGGCTTCCAAATGCCTATTTCATCAGCATATGGCTGATTCCCGTGTGGTTTAGACCAGCGTAGGTGCTCATTTTTTAGCTCATCAATCAAATTTTCACTTTTTGATTGCCCTCAATTTCTACGCCTGCGACTCCCGAGTATTTATAACGCCGTGCAACCTGGGTGTCGGGCCGATGGCTTCTCGGGACGAGTGGGTTGCTCGCCCTCGCAGCAGACCTGAGACAAAAACGGCAGCCTTTTCAGCAGCAGCGGCCGCGTCGGCGCCAGCGCCCGTATCTCCTGAGACTGTCTCGCGAGCCGCGACAGCCCGGGACCGTGTCTCATCAGAGACGCCAGGCAATGGTCCGTGTCTCCAGGCTAAGCTCTTCTCAGGGTTCGATTAAACCAGATAAGAACCTCGGGACTCCATTAAGCTCATCGGCCCGTTTTTGTCGGACAAGGCTTACCGAATTTAGTCATTTGTGGACTTGTAGAGTGTGGGCTCGGAGATCCGCAACGGGCAACCCTTATTTGGATATTGCTAAATTGGACCTTTCGTGCTTCATTTGTACCTAGTTCTCTTAGGTTTGTACCAAGCCGACTGTCTCGTCCCGCGCTGGCTTGTCACACCTCGACCAGTACCAATCACGTCCAGTCTGTTCCTTTCCCGTCACGAGTGCCAGCCATGTCGTGTCTGTGTCATCCCAACCCGTACTTCTCTGCTTTACCGTCCTTACCCGTACCTGATCCATACCTGCCTCTCCCGTCCTGACCTGACCGTCTCGAACCGACCTGACCTGTAGCTGTCCCATACCGTACCTGCCTCTTTCGTCCTGACCTGTCCCGATCCTGCCTCTGCCGTCCTGACCTGACCGCCCCGAACCTACCTGCCCTGTAGCTATCCCGCACCTGCCTCTCCCGCCCTGACCTGACCGCCCCGAACCGACCTGCTGCGTGACGCAGTGTCTCGTTAGTCCGACCGACAGAACATGGTTTTTGCGCTCACTCTCCCTTCAGTGCAACTGTTAGTTCCGCTCCCCGCTGGGGGAGAGAAGCCGACTTGCGCTGCAATAGAGTGCCAGCAGTGCAGTGTATGTATGTCTGTACTTGTGGCCTCCATGGCGAGACGAGGGCATTCCCTTGAGTTCCATGAATGTAGGACGTTTCTCTGACCGCGAAGTGACTCAGTGGCAGTTCATCTCGCAAACTGTTTTTGTCCTGAAACGTCAGAGCATGACTTCATACTTACCTACGTCATTTCCGGCCGACTTATCATTTGATTGGAAGTTCTTTTGTCAGCGTATGTCATGTCACGGAGAGCACCGCAAGATTCACGATGACTGATGATACACTTATTGCTTTAGGATATTTGCCAATTGCCAAGGAAGCCATGGGGCTAGCTCCTTTCAGTAATTCGCTGGAAAGCGTTTAAAACGTTAAACAAACGTCAAGAAAATCGGTGGAATATATTTTGATAGTAACCCCGGACATCCTGTAGCGATTGCGTGATGAGCTCTTTTGCTGTATACTGAACTATGGCGCTGATTTCTGGTGTATGGTAATGTACTGACCTTTGCTGAAGGCTCTGCTGATAAGCTGACCTGGGCAGTGAGCTGCTACCTCGGACTGATATGCTGACGTGTGCTCCTGCCTCGGGCTGACTGCTGACTCCGTAATGTTTCCTCTCCGGCAGGGTGCTGGTCGGGGCGCCGCGGGCGAACTCGACTCTGGGTCTGCACGACATCCCCAGTACGGGCGCCATGTACAAATGCAGCCTGGTCGAGGGCAAGTGTGAGGAAGTCATCACAGACACCACAGGTGGGTTCCGGTGGGTTCCAGCCAGCAGGCTCTGCAGGTTGTTTGGGCGGTAAGCGGCCGACCCTGCCGGTTGGACTGGCCGCCGCGTCGGCCGCGCACCCGTCTCGATGGACGAGATAACGCCTCCCGCGGCCGTACCGAGGCCAATGGGCACTTCGCTCCAAAGTGCACGCGGGCGACAACGCTCTCGCATAACTATAAACGCGCACCGAAAACACTCTTCTCGTCCATAATGAGGGCATTTACCTCCTACGCCTTCACAAAGCCTTTTAGTTTATGCTAGGATTGAAACAAGATAATAAAAATGGAAACTATGTGCCAATACACAATTACATTGAGAAGGACCAGTGCGCTGCCGCGCTGTGCGTCTGGTGCCCGGCCGATCGCTGGCCGGAGCCTGCTCTTCTGCTGAAGGTCGGTCGGTTCATTGCCACTGAAATCCTGTGATTAGGGACGGCACATCAGTGCGCCCTTCAGCCCCCGCCGCCCCCGGCCGCCGCCGCGCTGCGCCGGGCCTGGTCGCTCACGGTCGGTTTTTGTCCCGCTTCTTGCCGTGTTCTCTGCACGACAAGGCGGCCGGGGTACAAAGCCGGCGCCAGTGACCTGTCCTAGATAAGCTGACTCGGCGTGGGTTTGTGCATTGTGAACCTTGACATAGTCACTTAGCCTCTCGGTTAAGGTTTAAAGGCCCTAACGTCTAAGTAAGACGCTTCTGTGATATTGTTGTTTTTTATGCCATCGCCACTGGAGAATCAGATTCACAACAACGTTTATCACCGTCATGTCAAGGAGAAGCACGGGAGAAAATCCTACACCACGTTCTGCGCTTTCTGGGCCCTGCCGCTGTACGAGTCTCTAAATTCCCTGTCCCTGTAAGGCACGGTAATTAGCTGTGTTCTCTGTGAAAGTATGACGTCGGTCGGACATCCCTTGCGGGCCTGGCTTCCATCTGATGGCTGAGGGCTGACGGTCGACGCGGCTAGACCAACGTCTACCTTTCAGCAGCGTCTGCTTCCGTGGGAATGTTGCTGACCTGGAAAGAGATGAAAATGCTTGTGATAGAGCTCACTATATCAGCTCTCATAAACTTTCAGTCATCACTCCATCCTTCACTGCTGCCTGTATCTCGCTCTCCCCTCATCGTCTGTCCCCTCTCCCAGGTGACGAGGTGACCCGTCAGCCTCCGAACAGCTACCGAGACTACAAGCAGGGCGCATGGATCGGCGGCGCCATGGACGCCAACCCATCTGCTGGTGACAAAGTGGCGGTGAGTACTGGGCGGATAGAGAGCGGGAGGGAGAGAGGGAGGGAGGGAGGCTGCGCGTCCAGCTGCCTCTCCCACTAGACGTCCCACCGGCCCCATCGAACCCGTCAGGGCAGGGGAGCGGGCGGATGATGTGTCAGCGTCCCCCACTTGTTCAGCTCGATGGCTCGCGAAGTTCTGAGGGGAAGTTTTCAATGATTACATGTTACGAAGCACGCCGGGGCGGAGCGCCTGCCTGTGCCCTGTGGCCGTCTGAACGTCCGGTATTGTTGACTCAGTGGACGGCCGGGCTGTGAGTGACCTTCAGAGGGGTGTTCGGTGGTGTGGGATGGTTGTCATGGCAACAGAGGGGAAATTCGAGTAACCCTCCGCACTGTTTTGACGTTACACAAGGGTGACAAAGTTTGGTGGAAAATTGGCTATTGCCTCGGCGTGGAAACGTTCTGGTGGAAGAATATTGTCGTTGTTACAGAACACCTGTTGGTTTGCCTGGTCGATTACGTACGTTTGTCGGGGCCCTCAGGCACTCAAAGACGCATCGCCGAGTGCGCTTTTTCCGTCTTATATACCACGCATTACCTAGAATGAAAGGAAATAAAGTGATACGGACATGAGTAAGGCAATGGCGACAGATTTTCCCACAGATTCGGTGCTTGGAAACTCGTACGTACGTGGCTAAGCTAAGGCACAGACGAGTCTCTCCTGACAATCCGCGCGTGGACCAGACCTGCCTGTTGATCTATCTATCACCGGGTCTCTTTGTCCCGGGGTGCTACCTAAGACTCCTTGTTATCGATCCTCGCCCATGCGTGACTACCACACTGGAGCCGGTAATCGCTGATGAGTTCCGATCACTGATTGGGCTACTCCGCCACTCCCGCCGCCTTGTTTTGATCTAATCCCGTGCTGACGGCTTCCCGCCGCTCTCCTCCCTACCTCTGCCGTCTCTCCGCTCTCTCTCCGGCGGTGGGCGGTGGCTGATGGCCAGTAACGGCGCCACGCGCCACCGGCAATCGCGTCTCATTCAGCGTCGACCGGGCCGGTCGGTTCATCCATCAGCCCTCCAATGGCCGGGTCTGTCGGGTCACCGCCCGGCCCGCGGAACGCTTCGAACGGCGCCTGTCATATCCCGGCCGGTGGCGGAGCAGCTCAATGGGCGCTGATGGAGCCGCCCCGCGTATCGCTGCCGTATCGGAACGCACTGGGGTGTGGTGACGCCCGCCGGTGGTGTATCGCTGGTGTGGCTGTCATCACAGACACAATTCACCAGGGTCTGGTGATGATTGGTGGTGTCACAGGTCGGGCAGGTGGCGAGGGTTCTGTGAGTGATATCAAATCTTATCAACGTTAGGAAGGCAGCCAGAACTTTTTCTCGGCAATTTAGGAGGTGAAAAACATGCATATTTTTCGTCGGGAGATGACGTGAATAAAATACAACTATTTTTTATTTCGAGCTAATCGCTGGTCTCGGGAAACTTCAGCATGAAATAATAGGGATCAATATTGAATTTATAGCTGGCTATATTCTAGCAATATGAAGGCACTCCATAAGTTCAGCCTGCATGTGCTTGGAAGTTTGAAGGCCATTATTAGCATCTGTTGAACTCATTACCCGTCCGGCTGGCTCCAGACGGCAGTCTGGTCGGCATTTTACGTGCCCGATCAGTACGGTCGGCCCCGTGACTATCGGGCGTCGCTATGCGCCGGTCGATAATTGACCACGACCCAGCGTGACCTGATGACCTCCGATGGCCTGATCTGACTCGTGGCCGACCGCTTATCGAATGGTCGTATTGTGTTTACGAAGTGCCCCGACGGAAAGGCCGCCGATGTCGTTTTTGTGTTTTCTCCTCTCTGGCCCGGCGATTCGTGTCTTCGGTCTCACGACTCGTGTTCGGCTGTGGGAGTGTCTCTGATGGTGAAGAGAGAAAGAGGGGTGAGAGAGGGGAGATATGGAGATGTAATGAGAGATAGCAGAGAGGGCGGGAGAGAGAGAGAGAGAGAGAGAGAGAGAGAGAGAGAGAGAGAGAGAGAGAGAGAGAGAGAGAGAGAGAGAGAGAGAGAGAGAGAGAGAGAGAGAGAGAGAGATAGAGAGAGAGAGAGAGGGAGGGAGGAAGAGAGAGAGAGAGAGAGAGAGAGAGAGAGAGAGAGAGAGAGAGAGAGAGAGAGAGAGAGAGAGAGGGAGAGAGTCGTCACTCGTCATTGTGAAACCTTTATTACCGACCTCGCGACACTCCTGTTCTGTAACAACAGCTTGGTTAAGCGGTGACAAATCTGCCGTCAGCTGTCACTTGTCTCTCTCTGTGTGCGTTTCAGGTATGTGGCCATCGCTGGATTAACCAATACCGAACCAAGAACCATTTCGGTAACGGAGTCTGCTACTGGATGGAGAGTGACGTTCCCGACTATCTGTCGCACAAAGTCCTGCCGCTGATTTCGAACGGTGAGACAAGGCCCTAAAACATAATCTAGTGAGACATCTAGTGAGACGGGCGAGACTAGGGCGACCCTCCGCGCTGGTAGCAGCCAGTTCCGGGGCTTGATATGTCCTGTATCTGCCACATCCTTATGCTTTTTTAGTTCCTTGTCATTCTGACTTATTGGAGCCGTATATGCTGCACACTGCTCTCGGATTGGTAGAATGGTGCTGGCCTTTGTCATAGGTACTGCTGTCACTTGTGAGTGTGCTTAAACGCTTGATTTTGTGTATATCCGCTGGGCATTGTCCCTAAGACGAGGTAGTTCATTTATATCTCAATGGAGGTTTGCCGATCGGTTTATGGTTACTGGCCGCTGACTGCCGATTATTTTTCTACCCCAGGGATGCAGACTCTGAAGGAGCGGGACAAGGAGAGCTTCCTCTACGCCTATGGACAGGCCGGCATCTCCGTCCACTTCGCCAAGGTTAGTGAACCCAGAACATATCGCAGGAAAGTAACGCTCGCGGACAGTTCAAAGCCTGGCGCTCCTGCCCATGCGTTCACACCGCACGGACGATTTTGCGGTCACCCACCACTGTAAAGCCACTTACGTTAAGCCACAAGTATGCATGGATAGCCAAATAAGGTGTCGCTTTCAGTGAATTTTCAGCAAACAGGGCTAGTTACTGATAAACATCCGCATATTGCATGATGTGTTCGTGGTCCAATTGGAAAGTGGATTGATATGGAATGTAGAACGTGGGAGCGCGAGAAAGGATGAGCACAACTTCTATGAATGGATTATATATAACGAACAGCTATTTAAGAGCTTAGAACCACGCCACTGTGTAACGACTTTTTCATCGACAAGTTCGTTTGATTCCTGCTTTGTTGATCGTATTTTTATCCAGCGGTACAAACAATCCAACTTTTGCGGCGTAACTGGATAATTTTGTTCCATTGGCTTCTGGCTAGTGGCTGATAAAATTATTGTGTTGTTGCGTGGTCTAACTTCCAAACTAAAGCAGCGGGTAAAGTTTCCACGTCAGTTTATTTTCCCGTAATGAAGGTGGAACGTTTTTAGTGGTGGTCGATCAGCGAGGTGACATCCCTCTGTCCCGGTAACGCACGGGTCGGTGGTGCCAGCTGGCACTTTGTTCCGCTCCGGTGACCGGTGCCAGCGCGGAGGATTGTCGCCGGCTGTCCGCTGACTGCCCCGCTGACCAATGTTCTCTGACCGCTGACTGCTCCGCTGAACAATGTCCTCTGACCGCTGTTCTCTGGTCGCTGGATGCCACACTCTAACCACTATTTTATCGCCATCTCTGACCACTGCAGCTCTCTGACCGCTGACAGCTGTTCTCTGACCAATGTTCTCTGAGCGCTGACTGCTGTTCTTTGACCTCTGTTCTCTAACTGTCGTTCTCTGACCACTGCTCTCTGCTCGCCATTCTCTGACCTCTATTATCTAACTCTCTCCCGGCAGAACGGCTCCGAGCTGCTGATGGGCGCTCCGGGCATCTACAACTGGAAGGGCTCCGTGGTGCGTCTGGCCGACTCGGAGGGTTTCAGTCCCAGTCCGAACGTGCGCCGCCGGCGCGCCGTCGAGCCGCCGCTCGACCTCAGCGTGTACCGCGTGCCCAACCCGTACCTGACTGCCGCCGTGCACGAGAACGACTACTTCGGTAAGAGGCGAGCGGGATCGGGAAAGCCCGAGAATTGATCGCCCGTGGCATAACAGGACAGCATGCTTCATAAGCTCTGCATTCCTGAGCACATTGAGATATTCCATGACCATGACAGATGACATTTAAGTTAAGATATTCTGGTAAACAGTAAAAACCTGTCTGACGTGTTTGTCGCTCCTGCCGCAGGGTATTCGGTCAGCTCTGGAGAGTTTCTGGGAGACGGGCAAACGTACTACGTGGCGGGAGCCCCCCGCGCCGCTCTCGGCAATGGAAAGGTGAGGCTCGCCCCCCGGCAGCCACAGTTGAAATTCGGCGAACAGCGTAGCGAAAGGTCATTAGGAAGCACAGTCTCGCGGCGAATTGACACAATTTAGCCAATAGCATCGACACAGACAGTTTAGCTGGCAAGCAACACGGGTGCTGTTGAGTTATTGCTATTGTTTGAGTGCTAATCATCGGTATCGTTAGCTGACGTTCTTGCCTTTGTGGCCCTCAGGTATTTGTGTTTGACTTCCCTCCGAACGAGCTGGAGGGTATCGGCGTGGTGCTGGAGCGCGTCGGCTCCCAGGTGGGCTCCTATTTCGGCGCTGCGGTGCTCGGTCTGGACGTGTCCGGGGACGGCCGGCCCGAGCTGCTGGTCGGCGCTCCCCTGCACTCGCAGGGCAGCGGCGCCGGGGCGCCGGCCGGTCTCGAGGAGGGCAGGGTGTGCCTCTATCAGAACCTGGGCCGCGGTCAGCTCAGCGAACAGCCGCTGGTGCTGGCCGGCAGCCGCGCGCCGCGCGCCCGCTTCGGATCGGCTGTCGCCAGCGTCGGAGATCTGGATCAGGACGGATACAACGGTCAGTGGACGACAGAGATGGTTTCATCGACGCCCTAGCTCGCCCATGTGCTCTAAGAAACGTTTGTTTTGTTTTATTGGGTTTGGCTTACCGCTCTAAACTACCAGCCACAGACCTATAACTAACTGCTCAAGTACGCCCCATTTCGCACAGTTTTAACTTAAGTCTCGGTTGGTTTCTAGTTTAACTTTACACTCGTGTTTTACCCGTTCAGACATCGCCATCGGTGCACCGTACGAGGACGACCAGCGCGGCGCCATCTACATCTACCTGGGCGGCGCCGGCGGCCTGTCGCCCACCTACAGTCAGCGTATCGGCGCCGCCGAGCTGAGCGGAGAGCTGAGGGGATTCGGCGTCAGTCTGTCGCACGGGCTGGACATGGACAACAACCGGTACTCTGGTGAGTCGCGCAGACACTTAGGGGGGGGGGGGGGTAGCCGGGTCCTTCTACAAAGAGAGCTGTAGCAGTAGGTAGCAGCTACATGTCTTTGTTTTGAATTGCTGAAAATGTATAACAGCTCTAGCGCCGGAGAAGCGGCACAACCATCTTTTTCTGAGGCCCAGAGGTTGTGATTCTTTGTACGTACAGACTATTTGATACGATCGACTGTTAACCTACAATTATGAGAGACGTGTGGCTATAACTTACCCCCGGTCCGGTGTCTGCCTACAGACGTGGCGGTGGGCTCGTACCTGAGCGGCGAGGCGGTGCTGCTGCGCGCCCAGCCGGTGGTCCGGTTCCACGCCCACCTCTCGTCGAGCACCGACCGGCTGCAGCCGACCGACCGGCAGTTTCGCATCACCGCCTGCATCAAGTATTTCGGCAAACACCTGCCCGAACAGCTGCGTGAGTAGGCACTGAAAAACGGCCCCAGAGTAATTATAGTGAGCGGTAGGAAAGCGACGATGCATCGTGAAGAAGGACGAGCTCTGTTCTGCAAGATGGCTGACGGAACACCCTATGTGTGACGTAGTGGTTTGGTTGTGACTGATGGCCCGGGTCTGACGGAGGGTCTGGGGGAATGGTTCAGGTTTGAGGGGCTGGCCAGGGTTTGACGGGTTGACCAGATCTAAAATGGCTGGTCTGAGTGTGAGGTAGAAGCTCATGTCTCTTGATGTCCCATTCCTTCATGCGGTCTGCTCTAACCGGTCCGTGTCTCTACAGCTACTGAGGTGCTCATGAAGATCGAATCGCGGCACGTGTTGTGTGCGTTCGACCTGTCCGGCGGATCACGCGACAACTTTACCTACACGCGTATGCTGACCTACGAAAGCTACAGCTGCGACGACTTCACCGTGCTGATCAAGGTAATGAGGCTGGCCTGGGTACCGAAAAGGTTTTATTCTAAGATGAGAGGGACAGCTGGTCAAATCGAGAGGCGCGATGGGGTTGACAATGGATGAAAGAAAGTGATAGGCGGCTGTTGCGTTGCTCAGGGAGGGGTCGGGATGACGTACGGTTGGTCAAGGATGGTTTGGTGTGAGAGACGAACGGTCTGCATGAGATAAAATGTCATGCAGACCGTTCGGTTGGGGACTAATTAACGAACAGCTGGTCAGAAAGAGAAACCAGAGTGAGAGATTGTTGGTGAATGGTAAGTAAGTGACGGACGCTGTGGTGACGCCGCCGCCTCCCCGACAGTCGGACATCCACGACTACACGCAGCCGATCCAGCTGAGTATGAGCTACAACATCTCGTCAGAGGACGGCACCGTGGAGGAGCACTCCCGCCCGTCGACACCAGTCACCATCGGAACAGACCTCTCCAAACGGGCGGAGCGCAGCAAACGACAGGGTCAGTAGGGCGTGCTGTCAGCAAACCGTCAGCCGTGAGCCGAGCCGATATGACGCTGACCGGCCAATTCCTTTTTCACTAAGTTTTTAAAAATCCATATGGCCGCAGCTCAGCCTTATCTACCCAACATGTGTCTTTTATATGTTGATTTCGTGGTGCAATGGAACAACCCGTGTGCAATCAAATCATGACATGTCCATTGTTTCTCGATTATCTATGTATATGTGTAAGAGCCACCGATTGACACCGACCCCCTGTGTACCCCTCTGCCCGCGCAGCCTCGTCTCTGATGACGGGCGACCTGTCAGAGTTTTGCGCCACCTGCCCGGTGGTGAACCGTCTGGGCGCTGGTCAGACCCAGGTGCGGCTCAGCGTGCCGTTCTCGATCGGATGCGGTGCTGACGCCGTCTGTCAGTCGGACCTGAGCGTCAGCGCGGCCGTCAGCGGGCTGCGCGAGGGAGCTGCCTTCGTCATCGGCGCCTCGCCCACCATCGAGCTGGACGTGAACGTGACCAACGCCGGCGAGCCGGCCTCGCTGCCCAGCGTACAGGTGAGACGGCATTTGCTGTACTTACAGAATCCAGCGTACAGGTAAAATGGCATTTAGTGTAGTGTCCAGTGTAACGTGAGCCGACCTGTGTCCAGTGTTCCGATGGGCCTGTGTTCGGCCCTCAGACCAGTATGACGATTTGTAACCTGGCTGTTGACGACTTGCGCGCTGTGTCTCCGTAATTCAGTATGGGACCGGCCCTCCCGCTACTTGCTGTGACTTCCTGAATCAGTGCATGACCGGCCATTCCGTCCCCGTCCGCAGGTGAAGCTGCCGCCGCCAATCCGCCTCGTGCGCGTACCACAGCTGTGTTCAGAACGCGAGACATCGGAGCACGTAGTCCTCACGTGTCATATCCGACCGCACCCGTTCCCGGCCGGTGCCGAGGGCCGGATACGGCTCTCACTGGACGTCCAGGAGCTGGCGCCGGGCACCGAGAGTCTCACCGTGCAGCTGAACGTCACGTCGGCAGGAGAGGAGCTGGCGGCCGTCGATAACGTGCGGAACTTCCGGCTGAACCTGCGCACCGAGGCGGACATTGCCGTGACTGGGTGGGTAGTACCGGCTGGCGTCGGACAGAATAGAGCGGTTTTTCTTCACGCTTGACTTGGCCTGTCTTTCTTTTTTAGATAAAGGATGATATTGTTTTCAACTGTGTCACTGGAACTGGTGTCTCTGTTGATAACTTGTGTGTAATTGTTCAATTATTTCATATTCTTGAATCATAGAATCATAGAATCATAGAATCATATTCTTGCAGTCGGCCCTGACTCCGTTCACCCTCCACCCGTGCAGCCAGCCGCTGGAGGAGCCGCCGCTCTACTACGACAAGAAGGCCGACCGGGACGAGTCGGAGCGCAACGATCCCAACTACGTGATCGTCTCGCACCGGTACCAGGTGCTGCGCTACCTGCCCTCCCCCGTGCAGGCGGTCAACGTCAGCTTCCTGGTGCCGGTGAACGTGACGGACGCGGCGGGGAGGCAGATCCGCGTGGTGGACGTGTACCGGCCGGTGGCGTCTGTGGAGGGCCGGCCGCTGGCCTGCACCAGTCAGACGGGCTACTTCTTGGCCTCGGTGAGTGGGCGGGTCTCAGCTACCTACTCCGGTGTCATTGGTCATCACAATGCTACATGCCTCGGTACTTAGGATCAGGCCATCAGAGCTGAATGTGTGATGGGTACGATGTGACGCTAGGGCCCCTCTAACATGGAATACTGCAACGTTGTAAATGTACACAGGTATTGCCAATTTGTCCGCTCAAACATTCGAGCTAAATTTATAAAAAAGGTAGGATTTCTAATGCAGTGTCATCAGCTGAAAGAATATCACCCTTACACAATGCTCGCACAAATTGTTTTTCGTTTCTTTAATCGAAGCGTGTTCTCTATGCTGACCTACCGTGCTCTGTGTGGACAGGACGGCAACAGTTACGTGGAGTCTGCGCGCACCTGGCGCCGCCGGTACCAGCTGACTGACGAGCAGCGCCGCCTGCTGGCGCCCACCGAGTACCGCCACGAGGGCAACCTCACCACCGTGCTCAACTGCACGCAGCCGTTCGTCTCGTGTGCCTGGATCGAGTGCGGCACCGTGGCGTTCCCGCGGCCCGACACCAGTGTGGTGGTCACGCTCTCCATGCGCGCCAAGATACATGAGCTCGGTGAGTGGTTGATAGCGATACGGAATCAAAATGAGGCTGAGCGATGCTGACCAAACAGAGTCTTAGAAATCGGTATTTAACCGACCAGAATGAAAATTGAGAACACACCCATCCGTCGTTTCCATCCTCAGGATGCTGAAACTCTTCTCCACGCCGCAACCCCCACTCCGGGCTGGATAGGCAACTTTATCCCATGCGTGCTGCTCTCTTGGAGCGGCACTGCTGCTCCCCAAGGAGCACACCAGTAGCCGGTACATACTTTAGGGCTGGTCGGCCTGTCTTTTGGGACGGGCTCAGCCCCGGTGACTTACTAGGGTGCCTGCCCAGGCTAATGTCTCCCCCTAATTCCTATCATCCTCTCGGCTCTGAAATGTTCTTATCAGACCGAAAGGGCCTAACCCAACAAAACAAACATACAAAAAATGAGAAGTTGAAGAAGTTAGCAAGAGATGGTACTCTCATCTTCCATCTCCCAATTTCAGCTTACATATTTATTACGTGACGTCGAGCCGGCATCTGCCGCCGCAGCATATAACCGTCTGCTGATGAACTCGGTTGGCAGTCGGGACATCACGGCTCAGGAGGTAGCACACCACTCTCTGCAGCTGCCCGCCCTGCTGACATCCGCTACCTTCACCGTCGCCACCATCAATGAGAGGGAAGTTACCGCTGGCGGAGTCGTGCAGAGAAGTCCGTGGCACAAGTACAAGGAAAGACCAACCACTGACACAGCAGATGCCATGAGCTTCATTCAATACATACGAAGTCATAACCTAGACACCCACAGACCACGGCGACGTCCTGCAGTGCCACGAATCTTTCCTCGACTTCGAGTATCAGGCCCAGACGATCCGAAGTTCGATGCGTGGTGCCATCATCAGCTGAGAGTGTACCGACCCTGCCGATCGGACGAGGAACTGCGACCAGACCCGACCGTCTCGTGGGCCGAAGCACTGCGTCTCTGGGTGGACGACGGCGGTGCTGTGCCACAGTCTGTTCTCCAGGTGCTGCATGGCTGCCAGCAACAGACTGAAGACACAGAGGAGACTGATGAGGACTCCGAAAATGAAGAAGACGGTGTCATGGACACGGATGGAACCCCAGAAGACTGGATGCTGGCAGGACGTGCGGAGCAGTTACCTGCGGAAGAGACAGCTGACGTCATCGACCATCCCGACTGGCATACTTACTGGACAGAAGTGGAGGGGCTGGCAGAAGACGCTGCTATGTTTATTCAACGCTCGAAAACCGAAAACGAAGTGCGATTCGTGCCGCCGGACAATGCGCACGCCGACCGTTTGAACGATGAGCAACAGATGGCTTACCAACTGCTGCATGCGTCGTTCCAGCCAAACGCCGCTCCAGTCCATTTGCTCGTCAGCGGCACGGCTGGCTCTGGGAAGAGCTTCCTCATCATGTGTCTGAGGCGGCAGTGTCTGGAGGAGTTCGGCGAGCAGTCCGCGCAGCTTTTGCGCGTCTGCGCGCCTACCGGCACGGCAGCCTTTAACATCATGGGCGAGACGCTACATCGGTGTCTGTCCCTGCCGGTGCCGCTGACGAATGACCTGCCGGAGCTGACCGGCGAGCAACTGCAGTCCCTTCAGACACGGCTGGAGGGACTCCGGCTCCTCATCATCGACGAAATGTCGATGGTGGGGAGAAAACTTCTGCGCGCTGTAGACCTGCGCCTCCGCCAGGCCTTTCCACGACACTCTGCCAAGCCCTTCGGCGCGGTGAGCGTATGTCTCATGGGAGACTTTGGACAGCTTCCTCCCGTGATGGATCGGCCTATGTACGACTCGACGTCAGGCGGCGGGCGGCTCAGTGAAGACGGCCGCGCCAGCTTCCGAGCCTTCAAAAAGGCCGTCGTCCTGAGACGGGTGGAGCGTGTGCGTGGCAGCGAACCAGCACAGGAGCAGTTCCGACGACTACTCTCCCACGTCAGAGACGGAAACATCACCATTGATGATTACAGGCTCCTCTCAACCCGTCTGGAGGCCCATCTTTCCGACGAAGAGAGACGCAAGTTCGCTGACGCACCACGGCTCGTCGCTAGCCACGAGGTGGAGCAGGATATCAATCGCCGTCAGCTGCGGAACATCGGCCGGCCCTGCTTCAACCTGAAGGCCGTCCACCAGCCCGCCACAGCCAGGAAGAAGTCAGCGCAAGACGCCGGGGGTCTGGAGCCGGTAGTCCAACTGACCGAAGGGGCCAAGGTGATGTTAAAATCAAATATGTGGGTGAGCGCCGGTCTCACGAACGGCACTCTGGGGACCGTGGCCGGGCTACTGTACCCTCCAGACGCGCCTGACCCAGACACCCTGCCAGCTGCAGTCTGCGTGGAGTTTCCCGGTTACCAGGGCCCAGCATGGAACCCAGAGAAGCCCAAGGTAGTGCCGGTGCCTGCCATTACAAGCAAGTGGATGGAAGGAGCGCGACTCCACAGTCGAACGCAGATTCCTCTGGCTCTGGCATTTGCAGTCACCATCCACAAGTGCCAGGGCTGGACAAGACCAGCCGTCTGGGTCGACATCGGGCCCAAGGAATTTGCGCTTGGACTCACCTTCGTAGCGCTGAGCCGCGCCACTTCTCTGCGCGGGCTCATTTTGAACCCAACAGATCCAGCCGCTGCTCAGTGGAGCCGCCTTGTTCGCATCAACAACAGCAACGGGCAAAAGAAGCGCAAGGAAGTCGACAGGCTCCTCCAGCGTCTTCAAGAATCAACTTGAGCATCTCCATCCTACTCCACTCCAGCACATCACTGCGCTGTACATAGGCCCTTTTCATCCTTGCCTATCCCAGGTTCCTCGCTCGGCCAGTTAGTCCCCGACTTTCACTGCTGGCTGGGGCTCCTCCTGGGTGATCAAAAAAGAGATGTGCAATCCTATTGTGGCGGCCTTCACGCGGCGGATTGTGTTTCCACTAACAGCCACAGAAAGTCAATTTATATATGATAAAAACACCCTCACCGAGAAAGTACAATAACCCAAATAAATAAATTGCCCCATTAATAACGCTCGCTCGTTTCTCGCCCAAAAAGGCGTCTTACTGGTACCTTACATGGTTATTGCATCTTCTTTCTTTAGCCCGTCTTTCTGTCTTGTTTTCCGGTGTCGTGATGTCATCATGTCTCCCCGAGATCCCCTTAGTGACCTCTCCTCCCCCTTTACCCACAGAACCGTACGTGGGCGAGCGGGACAGTCTGGTGATCTCGACTGTGGGCCTGGCTGAGGTGGGCGCCGTGCCGTACCGTCTGCAGCCGCTGGACGACCGGCCCGACCTGTACCAGGTGCACTCGGTGCTGCTGCCCTCCTCCCTGCAGCCGTTCCCCGTGTGGATCATCGTGGTGACGGTCATCGGGTCGCTGCTGCTGCTCGCTGCCATCACTTACGGACTGTACAAGGTTAGTGCCGTCACCTACAGACTTGCAGTGTAAAAGGCTGGCCAGGGAGATTCGGAGCAATGGGACCGCCATAAACACTCACGGTCAGCACCGGCACATGCGTTCACGATCGCACCGATGCTCACTTTGGAACATTTTGTCATGTCATGATCTTGACCCGTAGTCAAGTGTTTGGGGTGGCCTTTGTTTTACAGATGCAATTCAGATGTGACCCTGTAGCTTACCTTTTCTTACAATTCGTCGTATTTCCACTGCTTCCAGTATGTATAGAGCCTGGCTCGACTTGCCGTACTGTGTTAAAAAGACGTTATTGAATACTTTATCTTCGGGAATTTCTCTTGGCAAGGGCTGACTTTCGAATATTGTCAGCTGCTGAGAAAAAAAATATCGAACCAGACGGCTGGGCCTGCTATGGCACATGGCACGTTTCCCGTTTTTGATCATTGAACTTTTTGTCGACAGGCGGGCTTCTTCAAGCGGCGGCGACCGGAGAGTGTTTAGGGCCGGCCCGAGGTGATGCTTTGACACCACAGTCCCGGCGGTACGCGGGGTCACTGGGGTCTTGGAGGCACCTGTGCCGCCGGGACCTAGGCGGGACTCTTAGCCATTAGGCCTACGGTGGCAGGGCACTTTGGACCACAGGTGCCCTCAGCAGCACTCTTGTTCTGGACCGCTGCTCTCGCTGTGCCAATACTGTCGGTCTAGTCAAGAAGTCATCCCGCTGGACCAGAAGACAGCACCGGCCAATTGTAGCCCTGCTGCGGCGTTTAGACAGGCGCCGGCCAGCCTGCGGGCCTAACGCGGGCAACTGAGGACAGCCAGAACCGCTGCGGCCATAGAATTGTCAACTGAAGACAGCGTGAGCTGGTCAGTCTTGCTGCTGCTCTATGACGGTCACCTGAAGACACCCAGCCAGGCTGCGGGCTTTTGACGGTCAGCCGAGGACAATTTGGGACAGCCATCAGATACATCCGTCCCGTCCCTCCCCGCTGCGTGGGACGGCTCTGGTTACGTCCGTGCCATCTTGAGACTCTTGTTGGCAGTGTCCCAAAATTATATTTTGGCTTGGGTGTCAGAGGGGAATATTCGTCACTATAAAGAGGGCTGAGAGTGGAAAATTGCCAGTTAGAAGAGTACAAAAAAGAGCAGGAAACAGATATCAACAATTAATTGGTGAGAGTTGGAGGATGACGGAGCTACCTTAAAAGATCATTGAATCGAATACGCAGGGAGGTACAAGGTGCACGCAAATGCTCTTAATTGGTAAACTAGGGAGTGAAAAATTGCTGTGGAAAATTGGAGGCGAGTGGAAAATTATTTTGATTTGGATGTTACTTCCCACCCAAACTGGCAAATTTTGGGACACTGCTTGTTGGTGCTGCCATCTACCCCATGACGACCCACCTAACAGTTTGGCCCGGCGCTTGTCGCCGATGAGAGAGGGGTTACGTTTTGGCTGCTGGCTCGGTGTCACATGAGTCGCTGCTAATTGTCATGCCTTACTGTGTCTTATTTGAAGTCAAATGATTGGTCGTACATAAGTGGCGCCTCTATTAGTTTCATGCATAATGTGCGTGCGTGTGAGCGAGGGACCGCGAATGCATGAGTGTGTGCGTGATGGCATCGCTCAAGCGGTCATATCGGAAGAATGCCAAATGCTGGTCACAGTGGGGGGAATGACGTTACTAATTTATTGCCATTTGCAATGCAACTGCAAATGATTGTTTCACTTGTGCTTTGAGATGAGATGCCATACAATGCCTAACAATATGTGTACTGGCGGAGCGTGAAATATATGAAAGTGTTTGCATACGAATTGCAATATAAATTTGGTATTGGTTTGTATAACGCGGTTTTTATATTAATCTGCCTTGGTCGCCGTCGCACTCTGCAAAACCTGACACTACGAGTCTAGCATTATAGCCCTTCACACCAGGCTCCGGACACTATGACGCCCGGGATCATAGTCTACCGTTAAAGCGCCCAGCTCCAGACATCTGCCGATGAAACGCCAGGCAAAACACGTTAGAAGCGTAACGCCAGGCATCATGCATCTGACGATACAATCCACAGCTGGATGACATTTTTGACTGATTTGACATTTGACACTTGACATTTGACGCTTTACCACTCTTAACCGTTTACCATCCGTCTTCACGGCATACTTACTCGAATGTTTGTAACTCAAATACGGGTTTGCGGCTTAGCAAACTGTGTCACTACTTGAGCCTCCCTGGTTCACTGAGGTGACCTTCAATGACGATATACCTGTTTAGAGGGCGATTGCTTTGTAAGCTAGGGCGGTTGTTACGCAATCTGTATCTTTCAATTCGTTCGTAATACGGAAATACGGTCTCGTTCGTAAGAGAGAGTGGATACAAACCAGTAAAACGCCTTTTGGGCGAAGAACGAGCGAGCGAGATAGTGAGCCCTGCACGTGCGGAAGGGCGAGAGGGTACTTCCAACGGGCTTGCGCAAAGCACCCTTCTAACCGGTCGCTAGCGGTGTACCAAATTTGAACGCAATCGGCCCAGCCGTTCCTGAGATCTGGAAGCGGCATTCTGCACGTGCGCACGTGCAAACGGGGTCCAAACTGACTTTTGCACGGCACCCTACTAACCGGTCTCCAACCGTGTACCAAATTTGAGCGCAATCGGCCCAGCCATTCTCGAGATCTGGAAACGCCCCCTGCACGTGCGCACGTGCAGTAGCACCCTAACCGCAACACATGAGAATGCATTGCCTGGTGGGTGCCTACCTGTATGCCAAGTTTCAGCGAAATCGCCCCAGTAATAACCGAGTTATTAAAATAGGAACAAGTTCGACACCTCTTATTGTTGTATTTTGCACGTGCACTGGGGCCTGGGGTGACCCACATGCATCGAGACTCGAGAGTATCCTATTTTTGGTAGAAAGGATGCAGCTACCCTATAAAAATTACCGCAAGCCAATCGCCCAAGCGGCTGCTGAGATATGAGCCTCTCAAAATCACTACTTTTGCAAAACAGCTTGAACACCCTTGACTTTTCACGTGGCACGTGCCACGACGGTCACTGAGATGTATCAAAAGTAGTCAATTACGGGGTAGAGGGATGGGGCTACCCAGCAAAAAAGACCGCAGGCCAATCGGTTCAGCGGTTGCTGAGATATAAGCCTCTCAAAAGCGTTACAGGCCGGGCCGGGCCGGGCCGCTCATACTGAGATTTTTCCGTTATATTGAAAAGACTCGCCTCGCTCGCTGCGCTCGCTCGTAATTAGTTCTAACGGGCTTTACCACCCATTTTCTTTAAAAAAAAAACAAGCCCTCAGTGCCTTTCTTTCCCCCCCCCTCTCTCTCTCTCTCTCTCTCTCTCTCTCTCTCTCTCTCTCTCTCTCTCTCTCTCTCTCTCTCTCTCTCTCTCTCTCTCTCTCTCTCTCTCTCTCTCTCTCTCTCCCTCCCTCTCCCTCTCTCTCCCCTTTCGTCCCTCCCTCCTTCCTCCCATTCATCCACCTTCACTCGGTGCACTGCAGGCACCGATTGGCGGTTGTTCAAGAGTGGATCTACGAGATCATCGCTTTCCGCATCATTCGTCCCACTCCTCGAACTTGCACCCTTCCACGCACGCACGCACCCTTCCCCAGCTCAGCCTGTGCCCACCAGAGGACATTGACCGGCGCGGCTCTGCCTGTTTACTCGGTACCCTTTTCACACAGTTTCAAAAATCTACTGCCTGAAAAATACCTCACAGACGTAAACAGGTTAGTTATCTTCAGTCGCAGCTGTATGCCCTTGTTGCGTGCTGGACGCTGGTTATTATGCCCGGGGACTCTGATGGCCAGTGCGGGCAAGAAGGGTCGTCTCGAGCGCTGGCCCGCCGGCCTGCTGGAAAGGGTACTGACCTTGGGCCCGATGGGGACCGGAGGGAGGGCCAACTGGGGCGCTTATCCTCCCGGTAGGTAAGTGCGTTATACTTCCATACCTGTGACCGACGCGACGGCGGAGAAGCGGCTAGCGTGTATCGCTGACGGTGTTACCCAAGAAAGGCGAAAAGGAGGGCGGTGTTACCAAGTGTATAGGCGGCGGAACGGGGAGGGCAACGGGGCACCGTGCCCCCTTTGATTTTGGCATTTTAACATTATCCCTATGGGCGTTGCATGGAAATGGGACCAAAAGTCGGCAGTGCCCCCCTTAATTGAAGGTGTTCCGCCGCTACTGCCGAAGTGTCTGCATTTTTCTAAAAAAAAAAATCCTTTAGCCCTTGTTCAGTATTGTAAGACATGTTTATAAAGTCTGATGGCCAAGAGTTGCGAACGAAAATTATAATTAAAATCTAAATCTTTTTGTATTTCAGACGTTTCGACAACACTGTGTCATCACAGTGTTGTCGATTACTGACGATGACACAGTGTTGTCGAAACGTCTGAAATACAAAAAGATTTAGATTTTAATTATAATTTTCGTTCGCAACTCTTGGCCATCAGACTTTAGCCCTTGCCCCGCTGGGGGGGCTAATTTGCCCCCTCTGCGGTTTTTCCTGAATGGCAATCAATAAAACGGCGGCGCGCCAAATTTTCAATACCTTCCCGGGCATAAATTTGACACCATCACACAAAATTTCAAGCCTTAGGTCAACTTAGGTCAGGAGTTATTGAGGTCAAACTTAGGTCATGTTCGAGCAAAAATGAGCAAAAACATGAAATCTTGAAACGCTCACAAAATCTACAGTTACAGAGCAATTTCAAAGTTCTTTATATGGTCATGTAGACAAAAGGCGGCGCTACAAAACTGCTATCTCGGATTTTCAAAATTTTAGGTTTTTGACCACCAAAAATTCAAAAAATTGATTTTGTAGAAAAACGCAAAAAAATCCCAAACTTTTTCCGAATTGCGAAAAAACCGGAATATATATGATAGTCCCTACACTGAAAACAAATTGATCCGGCGACAGCGAGTAAAACCCGCATTTGAAGGATACCCCTATCCACCACCATTTTTGACCACTCTGGAGCGGATACGAAATATACGTGCCTCGCGGATACTGTTTATCCGTTGACAGCGGGTTAATCCGTATAGATTACCCGATCAAGGAGGGTTACTCGAATCTAAATATCCGCCACTGCCGGGTACCTCGATCCGTTGATACGGAGTAAAATCCGCATCTGAAGGGTACCCCTATCCACCACCATTTTTGACCACCCTACACCGGGTATCAAATATACGCCACTGACTGTTACTTATTACCCGTTTACTGCAGGTTAATTGGTGCAATCTATAATTTTCGTTAACTTTGAGCATCCAATTCCCCCTTCCCATGCATTCGGCTGCTGTCACATTCGTAAGCACTTAAATATGGTCTTATCTATTTATTTAGTTAGACGTACAACAATATCCACACACATGAATTATACGAGTTAAATATGAGTTAAGGTCATAAGGCCCCGGTGCCTTGCGCCACACCACTCCTCCACCGGTCGTTTTGTGTCTGTCACCGTCTCTCCACTTGGCTTTCAGTGGTCGAAACCTCCCATTTCGATTTGTACGCCTGAAAAAATAGCCCGTATCATAAACCCTTCCCACATACACAAAACCGAATTGTGTACCTATTTCATCTGAGCTTTCGCCTTACTGGATTCACCGCACGATATGGCCTGTGGCCACAGAGAAAAACTATTACGAGTCCACGTGGTTACCCAATGGGTATATCTGCACGAGATGCATTGCAAGAATCATTTTGCCCTTAAGTGAAAGGGTACACTCACTCTGTATATCTCTCCGGGTTCAAAAGTTAGTTTTGAAGAGCGTCCTTGACTCCTTACCTCTATCCGCGAAATTCAGCAGCCAGAAGTCCACAGCAGCAGCCAAACCACAGCACCGTCAGGCGTCAACACAGTCAGGAAGATGGCCCGTCGCACGAGATTCGTTGCCGAAGGTGCACCGCCGGCAACGCGCATGCGCACGCGCATGCGAGGGAAGTGTATCCGCAGGTGGCGGGTAAAGGAATCCACCAGGCAAACTTGAGAACCCGGTGTGAGGGAGTGCGTGACACTTATAAGCGCTATACATATATAATGAATCCGCCTGGCGAGAGTAACCGATACCTATCAGTCCCGGATTTTCCCCGCTATCCGCCACCGTCGGCTAGCAACTACACGTAAAAAGTGTATCAAGCCCCTGTCAGCGCGGATTTATCTGTTGTTTCCAGATATCGCAAGCAGGTACCCTATCTACTCGCATGGTTCTACCCGCACTTGAGCGATTAACCCGGACGTACCTTACACTTAATAAAAGGATAACCCGCAACAGCCCGGCCAATTTGTTTTCAGTGTATGCTCTCCTATACACATACCAAATTTCACATCGATGCCTCTTCTTTTGGCCAAGTTATAGCGAAAAAACTGTTCAAAATTGATGACGTCAAATTTTTGAACTCAATTTTTAGCCATTCTAGACCACGTAGCGCAAAACAAAGACCACCATTGAACTCCCCGTGACGAGCTGCATCGAATCGATACCTACCCATTTTATGCAAAAATAACAACTTTGAAATTTGACCTTATTTGACCTGACCTTGACCTGACCTTGACCTGACCTTCACCAGAACATAATCTTAACTGCCCAAAAGGCTGCCTGACCCACATAATCGTATTTGGCACATAAAATGGACCATAAAACATGCATCACATGATATTTTCATATTGTGACCCTCAGTGACCTGACCTCTGTGACCTGACCTAGTATCAGTGACCTTAAATAGCAAAATATGTGTTTGACGAACATTTCCCGCCATCGATGATTTTCAATGAAATGCATTTTACTCGATTTTACAACGCATTTCTTGAAATGCCTGTAAACGGTGAATATTCGA